ATGGGGCACTGTAGGATGTTCTTGTGAATAAAGATGTTTTTAAATGAAAATGAGATACAAAAGAATGACTCTGAAGTCTCTGACTGTAAAGCTGCTTTTTCATTGTGTAACTTAAATTAGAAATACTTCATGAATTTCTTTAGGGTAATAATGTATTTGTAAAAAGTAATAATATATTATCATCTTTTTGATAAATATGTATATTAGGTCTTCACCGATATATGTGGAGTTACGTCACTTTAGCCTGAAGTGGTCGTATCTCGGGAACGGAAAGTCATAGAGACTCGCAACCAAGACTGGTGTGTTCATAGCCCCCGAAATATGTCTGATGGATCAAGGTTCCAAGTCTGTCTGACCTTCCATTCTCGAGTTATCATGAAAGGGTAAGGGTTAGAAATATGTCCCCAGCCGGGAATGGGTGATGCTCGGGCTCTCTCACGGTGTTAGGGTGTTAGGGTTAGGGACTCCCAGACTTCCCTCACCCCAGGCACTTCCTCCAACTCCTCCAGGGGGACCCCGAGGTGTTCCCAGGCCAGTCCAGAGACATAGTCCCTCCAGTGTGTCCTGGGTCTTCCCCGGGGCCTCCTCCCGGTGGGACATGCCCTGAACACCTCCTGAGGGAGACGCCCGAACCACCTCAGCTGGCTCCTCTCGACGTGGAGGAGCAGCGGCTCTACTCCGAGCTCCTCCCATGTGACTGAGCTCCTCACTCTGTCTCTAAGGGAGCACCCAGACGCTCTGCAGAGGAAACTCATTTCAAGCGCTTGTATCCACGATCTTGTCCTTTTGGTCATTACCCAGAGCTCATGACCAGAGGTGAGAGTAGGAACAAAGACTGACCGGTAAATCGAGAGCTTTGCCTTTTGGCTCAGCTCCCGCTTCACCACAACGGTCCGATACAGCGACCGCATCACTGCAGACGCTGCACCGATCCACCTGTCAATCTCACGCTCCATCCTCCCCTGACTCACGGCCACATGTCGCTCCTTCGGGCTGAGCCCGGCCCGAATGAGAGAGAATTTCCACACATGACACAGGACTGGATCTACAATAATGAGACAAGACATATTTTTCAAAGTTCCATCCATCCATCCATTTTCTTCCGCTTATCCGGGGCCGGGTCGCGGGGGAAGGCCCGGCCACCAGGCGCTCGCTGGTGGCTGGCACTGGAGGTGAGGAGAAACCAGGATCATGTCCTGCTCCAAAGGGGAAGGGGATCTGTGTCCATGAGTGTGACTCTGACCAGAACTGTCCTGGTGTTCTGAAGAGCTGAAATCACATCACTCACTCCACTGTAAATAAACCAGAATCCAAACCAGGATCATGCCCTCCTCCACTTCATCACCACCACCACCCCCACCCGTGTGAAGATGAATGTGCAGCAGACTGCGAGTGTCCCAAGAACCTCAAATGCTGCTACGTCGGCTGTGGACGCCAGTGTGTGTGCCCTGTACACATATAAATACACAACAGAACCTGCTGATGTGTGTCCTGTTTTACTTTCTGTTTAATAAAGACGACACACTTCAACACTGAGTTTTCTTGTTGTTCTTTTAAACTGTTTCACACAGATTTATATTTCATCATTTACCTTTTTAATGTGTTTAGTTTGTCGGTTTTGGGTTTAATGTCACAGATTTGCACACAAACCTTAAAGGACACTGCAGCAGTTTATTCAGTTCATACATTCATATTTCCAGGGCCCGAATATTTATGTATTTATTTATTTGTTTATTTATTTCATTCATAAAGTATAAAAGAATGAGAACTTTGCACATTAGTTACTTGAGACGGTGCGTTGGAGCAGCCCAAGAACATAGAGAAAAATCCCCCACACCGTCTTACCTGCAAATTGTGAGATTTATTCAGACAAACTGTGAAATGTTTTTGTTTTGTTTTTCGAGGTTTTCGTCAGGCAAATAGAATGAGAGCTCAGGTGGTCATCTTAAATAGGGTGTGGCTGGCACCCAAGGGCGACAGGTCCTAAAGAAACAGTGCACCCAAAACCCCATAATTCAAAACAACTAAGACAATCAACATACAGTGTAATAATAATAATAATAGAAAAATCATTGAATAACAATAAGAAGAATATCTGGATACATATAGACATAGACGGGTTTAGTCCTGGTTTCGCCCTGGTTTAGTCTTGGTTTAGTCCTGGTTTAGTCCTGGATTAGACCTTGATTAGTCCTGTTTTAATCCTGTTTCAGACCTGGTTTAGTCCATTTTTGTTTAGATTTCGTCACATTTACATCCTCGTACTTTTACCTTTAGTCTACGTGATCATGATTTGTAATATGATATTTAAAATAGTTTATTAAAATCACATGGGCCTGTGTCTGTGACTTTAAGGTTCATTTTGTGGTTTTGTGATTTTACAGTTTTGCAGTGAAATATTCAAGGCTTCTACACAAGTGACAAACCCACAACTAACACAGAGTCAAAATGTAACATTAAACAATCGTCTCTAATTTATAAAAACAAATAAAGATTTCTGCGGCGTCTGTGTCTGTTTACGTCTCAAGGTCCAACGATTAGATCTGAATTCGCCCTCGTTATTTTTTGCTCCACTAATGACGTCCACATCTACAGATTTTTACACTCGCTCGTTTAATCAGCGCAGATAAAGTGTTTTATTTTGAAACACAGAGTTCTTTCTGACCCGGTTTTATCTCTGTGTGAGTCTCCGGGATGAGATGAAGGACAACAAAATGATAAATGTGACAAATCAACACGTCGACCTGATTTATGATTAAGTCAAATAAGTAGGCTGAGTAAGTCGTCCTAAAAGTAAATGTAAGTAAACTATGTAAGAAAGTCGATTTATTTTTTTGTGTGTTATTTGTGCAAGTAGATTTATATTCTTGTACAATGGAATCATAACTAACAGGGGGACTGGTCCACGGCCCAGGGGGTTGGGGACCCTTGATCTCGTTTACTCAAATACAAAGTAAATCATGACAGAACCACGCAGCTCTAAACATTATTCATGTATGTGTCCCAGGAAAAGGTTTGATTTGGGGGATTTTTACACAATAAAATTGACACAACAAAACAAAAAACTGTTTATTGAATCTACCAAGTGTCAAATCAGTCATCAGTAAATCATATCAACTGGAGTTTATTTACACTTTGATTGAGGTCAACATGAAGTAAATGATGAGTGAACTGTAGATTATCAAGTGGTTGTGCTGATGTGAGCTTCAGCGGGGCGGCTCTACAACAGCTTCAGGTGAATAAATAGAAGCTGTTCATGAGCTGAACATTTGTGTCTGTGTCTGCAGTGATGAAGATGAAGCACTCCGCCCTCTGCGTCCTGACTCTGGCTCTGGTCTTCGTGACTCTGCTCTCTGCTCACACAGGTCAGTCCATTTCACTTCACAAAACCTTCAAGCCTTTAAACATTTGTAAAGACGAAATGCTGTTTGGTACAGAAGCCCTGAGCGGCAAGAGAGAGAAAAAAAAGGCACTTTTTTTTTCTCTTGTGTTTTTGTTATCTTTGAAAAGTTAGACTATATATATATATATATATATATATATATATATATATATATATATATATATAATATATATAATATTTTTTTTCAGTATTGTGGGATGTCACAATTGATCAAATGTTTCTTTGCTTCTTTAATGCAGTGGTCCCCAACCTTTTTAGCTCCACAGACCGGGTTTATGTCCGACAATATATCACGGACCAGGGACTGCAGCGGCGCGGCATGATTTAGTCCTGGTTTAATTCTATATTAGTCCTGGTTTAGTACTGGTTTAGTTCAGATTTAGTCCTGGTTTAGACCTTAGCACCACCATGGAGACATCTATTGGCTTTTTTCATACATTTTAATCTCTTAAATGTTCACAGTTGTGCCTAAGGACAAACCGGGATCATGTCCTGCTCAAAAGGTGAAGGGGTTCTGTTTCCCTCCGTGCGACTCTGACCATGACTGTCCTGGTGTTATGAAGTGCTGCTCCAGCAGCTGTGGGAAATCCTGCGAGTTGCCAGTCTTAGGTAAAACTCTCTTCAGTGTTTGTTTGGTTCATCTGGAATTTCAGCTCATTTCTGAACAATCAGACAGAAATTACATCACTCACTCCACTGTAAATGTTTTTATTTGACTCTGGAGACTCCGGACATCAGAAAATGATTTTTTGGTTTTTATGCTGTTTATCTTCACAGGGCCCAAACCAGGATCCAAACCAGGGTCATGCCCTCCTCAAATGCTTCCCTTCTTTCCTCACCACCCCCACCACCCCCACCCATGTGAAGATGAATGTGCAGCAGACTGCGAGTGTCCCAGGAACCTCAAATGCTGCTACGTCGGCTGTGGACGCCAGTGTGTGTGCCCTGTACACATATAAATACACAACAGAACCTGCTGATGTGTGTCCTGTTTTACTTTCTGTTTAATAAAGACGACACACTTCAACACTGAGTTTTCTTGTTGTTCTTTTAAACTGTTTCACACAGATTTATATTTCATCATTTACCTTTTTAATGTGTTTAGTTTGTCGGTTTTGGGTTTAATGTCACAGATTTGCACACAAACCTTAAAGGACACTGCAGCAGTTTATTCAGTTCATACATTCATATTTCCAGGGCCCAAATATTTATGTATTTATTTATTTGTTTATTTATTTCATTCATAAAGTATAAAAGAATGAGAACTTTGCACATTAGTTACTTGAGACGGTGCGTTGGAGCAGCCCAAGAACATAGAGAAAAATCCCCCACACCGTCTTACCTGCAAATTGTGAGATTTATTCAGACAAACCGTGAAACGTTTCGGCACGAGGTTTTCGTCAGGCAAATAGAATGAGAGCTCAGGTGGTCATCTTAAATAGGGTGTGGCTGGCACCCAAGGGCGACAGGTCCTAAAGAAACAGTGCACCCAAAACCCCATAATTCAAAACAACTAAGACAATCAACATACAGTGTAATAATAATAATAATAGAAAAATCATTGAATAACAATAAGAAGAATATCTGGATACATATAGACATAGTACATATATATTCACCCAAATATAAAATATTACTATTATTATTATGTCACGTACACATCTATATATACAGTGTTGTGGAGTAACAGATTACATGTACCAGAGTTACGTAATCAGAGTACAAATCTGAGTAACTGTATTCAGTTATAGTTACTGTGTAAGTGAGTGGTAATTAGATTACAGTTACTTTGTTGAAATAAATGGATTACATGACGGTATTTTCCTGTTTTCACATTTTGGGCTTTTTTTTTTTTTTTGGGTAATTCCACTCATTGCCAGACACTAAACCTGTCACTGCCCGAGACCGGAGTCTTCTGTGTGTGGACGTGGGCGGAGTCTGCTGGGAGCACCTGCCCCCATCTGCAATCAAGTCTGCTACAAATGCCCAGCTCTCCTGCCAGACTCTGCCAGGTTGTTTCGTCTACCTGATGGTGATCTTCCAGTCGGCTCAGTTTTTGATTCTACTTCACTTTCAGTTTACTTACCTGCATTTTTGAATTTCCTAGTTCCTGCTGTCGAAGACTCCTGCATTCCGGCTCCTGGCTCCTCATTCCTCCACCGCCTCTTCCTCCCTGGTCAATAAACCTTTGTTACTTTTGTATTTGTGGTTCTCGTTTTGAGTCTTTTTTGGGTCCACTCCTGTGGTGCATAACAAAACCAGGTCTAAACCAGGTCTAAACCAGGACAAAACCAGGTCTAAACCAGGTCTAAACCAGGACAAAACCAGGTCTAAACCAGGTCTAAACCAGGACTAAACCAGGTCTAAACCAGGACTAAACCAGGTCTAAACCATGTCTAAACCAGGACTAAACCAGGTCTAAACCAGGACTAAACCATGTCTAAACCTGGTCTAAACTCTGTCTCAAACAGGATTTAACAGGACTAAATCCTGCTGTGTGGACGTGTCTCCTTCTCTTCTATCAAGAATATTTTTAATTTGGTTCAGTAAACTCTGGGCTTTTTATTTTCTTTTATCAGGACAAAATATCTTATGTGAAAATATTCTCGTCGTTGCTTCTCTACAGAAAATCAAGTAATCAAAAGTATTCAGATTACATAACTCACCTTAAGTAACTTAAAGGGATAGGTCGGGATTTTTGACATAAATCTGTGTGTCGTCCCCCGTCAGCAGTGTCGTGCATCAACACTGACTTTACCCCCGACAGCGTCCGGTGAGCCCAGATACTGGCCGTTTTCGGTGCTGACGAAAGTCGTCCGGCAAGTTGTGCTCGGGACAGAATAATAAAGCGTTTTTCTTCTCAAAACAACATGTGTTCAAAAGAGTGACACATTTGCATCACAAAACCATCGTCGCCTAAAAAGTCAGACCTCATTATCGCTTGGCACTATTTTCTTTCCGTTCGTATCACCTGGTTCACTTTGTTTACTGCTCGGAATATTAGCGACAACAACATGTCTGATTACAACACCAACAATAAAGACTTTGCCTTTAGCTCAGAGCCAAGGGGAGATCTTTGTGAACCCGAATATACTGATGCCGAATTTCGCCAGATGGAGTTAGAACGAGCAGAGAGAGAAGAGAGAAAGAGAAGTGGAACAAGTTGAATCTGGAGCCGTGAGAGACCGAGTGAGCCACAATCACCATCACCTCATTTATAAACTCGTACACAGCGAACATAGAGTCTCCACTGTGACTGAAGCATGGACGACTAACAGAAACATGGAATCATCCACACGTCCACGTCGCTGCTGCCAACAGTGTACGTGACATTTACAATAGTAATAACAGTCGACTTATAAAGTTACGTTTTGTAGAAGCTTCACTGGTGATATGACACTGAGTGATTTACTGCACACAGAGTTACAGCTGATTCTTGAACCTGTTCTCTTGTAAACACAGCGGCACTTCTTCCTTCTTCTTCTTACCTGGTTTGGTTTCCACATTGAAGTCTAAGGCAAGAAGCCAAAGTTTCCTCAGCGCAAAGTCCGTGACAGGAAAACGGTGACATGTGCGTGGAGATTCAGCCAGATTTTTGTTGTTACAGCCTGGATAATCAAGAGTTCGCACCATTTTTTTAGATATATTCTTATGTGTCTTATACTAACTTATATACTTATGGCTCTAGCTCTCTCGTTAGCTCTCTCACGTCGCGGTCTGCGCATGTAAACACTGCCGAACAGCTGCAGAAAGTGATGGATTCGTGTGCGGCTGTCAGCTGGCGGCAGCGCGCAGTGATACGAACGGAAAGAAAATAGTGCCAAGTGATTATGAGGTCTGACTTTTTAGGCGACGATGGTTTTGTGATGCAAATGTATCACTCTTTTGAACACATGTTGTTTTGAGAAGAAAAACACTTTATTATTCTGTCTCCAGCCAACTTGCCGGACGACTTTCGTCAGCACCGAAAACGGCCAGTATCTGGGCTCACCGGACGCTGTCGGGGGTAAGTCGGTGTTGATGCACGACACTGCTGACGGGGATGACACACAGATTTATGTCAAAAATCCTGAACTATCCCTTTAATGGATTCTCTTACAAACTACATTTTGGGCTATGTAATCTGTAATCTGTAGGGGAATATATTTTAAAAGTCACCTTCCCAACACTGTTTATATACACAATGGATCTTAAAATCGAGCCCATGTCCAACCCACCAGAAAAAAGAGACTTAATGATATCAGAAATGCAAACAGATGCTTAGATTAAAATCATCACTGAATCCTTTTGGAGCTAAAGTTTGAAAGAGTATGAGGGGGGGGGGGGCTTTTGTGGCTTTTGTGACCGATACCAAATGACCCATGGCCCGGTTCTGGTTCTGCTCCGGGTGTTGGGGACCTGTAGTTCTGTTGTGCTGTTGTTTTGTTGAAGTTGGTGAGATCAGGTGAAAGGAGCAGGAAGCAGAAGTAACAATCAAATAATGTGATTTGATTAGAGCAGCACAAATGAAAATGTGTCTGATTGTGTCGGTTTGAACTGTGTGTCACACACAGAGCGCTCGTGTGTGATTGACACGTGTCTTTGGCATTTTTTGCCCTAACAACATGAAACAACATGAATGAAGATGTACAATGAATCCTTCTCTAAAAACATTTCAGTACTGAGTGAAATGATGCAACTTTATTAGTGATGTTTGGCTCAGAGTGTGTGAAAAACCCTGACCCTAACTGGAAGTTGATTGAGTGAAGTAATAAATAATAAAACGTCTCTCCAAATTGATGAGTCCACAGAACATTTTAACTAATCTGATCAAATCTGAAATTCTCTTTTTCTCTGAAGATGAAACCAGTGTCACTTACAGACAAATCAGAGTCTGGAGAGAAGAATGAGACAGAAAACTCAGTTTGGACAGAACATTATTGAAGCTGCAGGATCTGGACGGCTGCTGCGTACGTTTGGCCAATTCAACTCCATCTCCACCCGGCTGCACGTCCACTCGTTATGTCTGTACTTGTGTGTTGATTATGTGCTGATGTGGCGGAGGTGTTTGTGTGTTTGCGTGTGTTGTATATATATATATATGTATATGTGTGTGTGTGTGTTTGTGTGTGTGTGTGTGTGTATATGTGTGTGTGTATATATGTGTGTGTGTGTATATATGTGTGTGTATATATGTGTGTGTGTGTGTGCATTAGTTCCATACTATGCCTCAGTTCAGGAGCAATATAAATCTGTGTGAAACAGTTTAAAAGAACAACAAGAAAACTCAGTGTTGAAGTGTGTCGTCTTTATTAAACAGAAAGTAAAACAGGACACACATCAGCAGGTTCTGTTGTGTATTTATTTGTATACAGGGCACAGACACTGGAGTCCACAGCCGCTGAAGCAGCATTTGAGGTTCTTGGGACACTCGCAGTCTGCTGCACATTCATCATCACACGGGAGGAGGTGAGGATTTGGAGGAGGGCATACTCCTGGTCTGGATCCTGGTTTGATCACTGTGAAGATAAACAGCATAAAAACAGTCTCAGTGTTATTTTTACATGAACAGAAAAAATCTGATCATTTTCTGATGTCCGGAGTCTCCAGAGTCAAATAAAAACATTTACAGTGGAGTGAGTGATGTGATTTCTGTCTGATTGTTCAGAAAAAAGATGAAATTCCAAATGACCTAAACAAACACTGAAGAGAGTTTTACCTAAGACTGGCAACTCGCAGGTTTTCCCACAGCCGGTGGAGCAGCACTTCAGAACACCAGGACAGTTCTGGTCAGAGTCACACTCATGGACACACTTCCCAAACCCCTTTTGAGCAGGACATGATCCTGGTTTGTCCTTAGGCACAACTGTGGACATTTAAGGGATTCAAATGTATGAAAAGTCTACAGATGTTTCCATGGTGGTGCTAAACAAGATCTAAAACTGATCTAAAACAGGACAAAAACAGAACTAAACAAGTATTTTTCTTAAAAAAAAAAAAAAAAAAAAAATCCTAAAAATTTAATAAATTTAAAAATTCTTTTAAAAAAAGGGAAAAAAATTCATAAAAGAAAAAAATGTTTTTTTAACTTTAAAGACAACGATAACACAAGAGAAAAATGCAAAAACTAGAGAAAAAAAATCATTTTTGAGTTGTTAATGCAAAATAAAACAAACAAACAAAAAACTAATTAAGACTTTATATATATTATATATATATAATATATATAATATATATATTATATATATATATATATACATATATAAATATATGTAAATTGAGCCCAAATGAAGTGCCTCTTTCTCTCTCTCTCTCTTGCCGCTCAGGGCTTCTGTACCAAACAGCATTTCGTCTTTACAAATGTTTAAAGGCCTTGAAGGTTTTGTGAAGTGAAATGGACTGACCTGTGTGAGCAGAGAGCAGAGTCACGAAGACCAGAGCCAGAGTCAGGACGCAGAGGGCGGAGTGCTTCATCTTCATCACTGCAGACACAGACACAAATGTTCAGCTCATGAACAGCTTCTATTTATTCACCTGAAGCTGTTGTAGAGCCGCCCCGCTGAAGCTCACATCAGCACAACCACTTGATAATCTACAGTTCACTCATCATTTACTTCATGTTGACCTCAATCAAAGTGTAAATAAACTCCAGTTGATATGATTTACTGATGACTGATTTGACACTTGGTAGATTCAATAAACAGTTTTTTGTTTTGTTGTGTCAATTTTATTGTGTTAAAATTCCACAAATCAAATCTTTTCCAGGACAAATATATGAATAATGTTTAGAGCTGCGTGGTTCAGTGATATTAAAACATACAGAGGGACTTTTGGATGATTTACTTTGTATTTGAGTCAACGAGATCAAGAGTCAAGAGTCCCCCAACCCCCCGGGCCACGGACCAGTACCCAGTACCAGGACTAATCCAGGTCTAAACCAGGTCTAAATCCAGAACTAAAACCAGGTCTAAACCAGGTCTAAACCAGGTCTAAACTGGTCTGTGGAGGTAAAAAGGTTGGGGACACTGACCTGGATAATGGAAAGAATTGGATTTCAATAATCGTGGAAAAAATGTAAATATGATGTAAATGTGGAAGTGGAACGACCTGTTAAGAACTTTTACTCACGTAACTGACACAGAGAAATAATAAAACATATTTCATTTTTAGATTGGGCAGTTTATTTATTTCCAAGTGACAATGAGGAGAGAAAAAACAAAACCTGAAACCTGAAGTTTTTCTTTTGTTCATGTTCATCTTGAGATTCACTTCAAACACAGAAAAGTTTGTTTTAGTGACACATATTTTTATCAAACAAAGCGGCGACTCATAGTTTAGATAAACGTGTTTGTCTGATTGTTTGTACTTTTCTGTTCTTCAGTTTTATCTTTTATCAGTGACACAGTGAGTGTGTTTTCATGCATCAGTGTCCTGGTTATGATCAGGTTTTTGAGGTTTCGTCGTGGTGCATGTAGACGCAGTTTTCCAGTGTCAGTGTCCCGGTTTCAATATCCTGGTTTCAGTATTCATGCTCGGTACCAAACGACCCATGGCCCGGTTCTGGTACTTGGCCCGGTTCTGGTTCGCGGCCCGGGTGTTGGGGACCTCTGTGGTAGAAGAAGAGCCAGAGTGTTGTGCTGTTGTTTTGTTGAAGTTGGTGAGATCAGGTGAAAGGAGCAGGAAGCAGAAGTAACAATCAAATAATGTGATTTGATTAGAGCAGCACAAATGAAAATGTGTCTGATTGTGTCGGTTTGAACTGTGTGTCACACACAGAGCGCTCGTGTGTGATTGACACGTGTCTTTGGCATTTTTTGCCCTAACAACATGAAACTTGGCACTGCACACGCCCGACCCATGAGGACGACACCCACCAAATCTGAGACGAGTCGGACGAGAAACAAACCAACAAACCAACAGGAGGAGACACAGACGGACGCTTCTTGCATTAATAGATAAATAAACTTTTGGTGCTTGTGCATTTGTAAGATTATGTCAAGAATCTGTGATTCTGCATTTGTTCATGTCACAGAGACGTGAGTGTCGCGGTTTCTCAGCGCTCGGAAACAGCACATCCTGAATACTGACATGACCGGAATATCCTCGGGGTCTCCTCTGGGGGGACCCTGAGGTGTTCCCAGGCCAGTCCAGAGACATAGTCCCTTCAGCGAGTCTTCCCCCGGGGGCCTCCTCCTGGTGGGACATGAACACCTCCCAAGGAGACGCCCTCTCCATGTGGAGGAGCAGCGGCTCTACTCTGAGCTCCTCCCGTGTGACTGAGCTCCTCACCCTGTCTCTAAGGGAGCACCCAGGGTCAGGTCTAAATTAGGTGCAGATGTCGCCCTCTGCTGGTGAATGGTGAGATTACACTGAATTATGAATCTGAAATGTAAAATGGAATAAACCAGGGTGACCAGATGAGACTGACAGAAATTCAGGGCGCAGTTTTTTTGTTTGTTTGTTTGTTTATTTATTCGGGGAGGCCATGGAGAAGGACTATCGGACGGCCTCAAAGAGATTCTGGCAAACCGTCCGGCGCCTCAGGAGGGGAAAGCAGTTCTTCACCAACACTGTTTACAGTGCGGGGGAAGAGCTGCTGACCTCGACTGGGGACGTTGTCCGGCGGTGGAAGGAATACTTTGAGGATCTCCTCAATCCCACCGTCACGTCTTCCGAGGAGGAGGCCGAGGCTGGGGACTCGGAGGCGGACTCATCCATCACCCTGGCCGAAGTCACTGAGGTGGTTGGCAAGCTCCTTGGTGGCAAGGCTCCGGGGTTGGATGAGATCCGTCCTGAGTACCTTAAGTCTCTGGATGTTGTGGGCTGTCTTGGCTGACACGCCTCTTCAACATCGCGTGGCGGTCGGGGACAGTACCTCTGGACTGGCAAACCGGGGTGGTGGTCCCTCTGTATAAGAAGGGGACCGGAGGGTGTGTTTCCAACTATAGGGGGATCACACTTCTCAGCCTTCCCGTAAGGTCTATGCCAGGGTACTGGAGAGGAGAATCCGGCCGATAATCGAACCTCGGATTCAGGAGGAGCAGTGTGGTTTTCGTCCTGGCCGTGGAACACTGGACCAGCTCTACACTCTCCATCGGGTGCTCGAGGGTCATGGGAGTTTGCCCAACCAGTCCACATGTGTTTTGTGGATCTGGAGAAGGCATTCGACCGTGTCCCTCGTGGTGTCCTGTGGGGGTGCTCTGGGAGTATGGGTCCGGGGCCCTTTGCTAAGGCTGTCCGGTCCCTGTATGACCGGAGCAGGAGCTGTGTTCGCATTGCCCGGCAGTAAGTCAGACCTGTTCCCGGTGCATGTTGGACTCCGCCAGGGCTGCCCTTTGTCACCGTTCTGTTCATTGTATTTATGGACAGAATTTCTAGGCGCAGTCAGGGGCGGAGGGGGTCCGGTTCGGGGACCACAGGATTTCATCTCTGCTGTTTGCGGACGATGTTGTCCTGTTGGCTTCATCGAACCAGGACCTGCAATGTGCACTGGGCGGTTTGCAGCCGAGTGTGAAGCGGCTGGGATGAAGATCAACTCCTCCAAATCGAGGCCATGGTTCTCGACCGGAAAAAGGTGTCTTGCCCTCTCCGTGGTGGTGGGGAGTCTTTGCCTCAAGTGGAGGAGTTCAAGTATCTCGGGGTCTTGTTCACGAGTGAGGGAGGACGGAACGTGAGATTGACAGGCGGATCGGTGCAGTTTCGGCAGTGATGCGGTCGCTGTATCGGACCGTTGTGGTGAAGAGGAGCTGAGCCGATAGGTCTTGATTTACCGGTCAGTCTTCGTTCCTACTCTCACCTCTGGTCATGAGCTCTGGGTAGTGACCGAAAGGACAAGATCGCGGATACAAGCGCTTGAAATGAGTTTCCTCCGCAGGGTGGCTGGGCGTCTCCCTTAGAGATAGGATGAGGAGCTCAGTCACACGGGAGGAGCTCGGAGTAGAGCCGCTGCTCCTCCACGTCGAGAGGAGCCAGTTGAGGCTCGGGCATCTGTTCCGGATGCCTCCTGGGCGCCTCCCTCGGGAGGTGTTCTGGGCATGTCCCACCGGGAGGAGGCCCCGGGGAAGACCCAGGACACACTGGAGGGACTATGTCTCTGGACTGGCCTGGGAACACCTCGGGGTCCCCCCGGAGGAGCTGGAGGACGTGTCTGGGGTGAAGGAAGTCTGGGAGTCCCTGCTTAGGCTGCTCCCCCCGCGACCCGGCCCCGGATAAGCGGACGAAAATGGATGGATGGATGGATGTTGGTTTATTTGTTCTGTTTTGTTTTTTTTGCAACAATAATAATAATAATAGAATTAATGATCATTTATCGTCTGTGAACTTCACCCAGAAAACCTAAATAAACTCCACAGCAGGTGACTGAGTGAGTTGACACTGTAGAAGAAAAACATCAAATAAACTGAATAATGGTTGGAGTAAATGAATGAAGATGTACAATGAATCCTTCTCTAAAAACATTTCAGTACTGAGTGAAATGATGCAACTTTATTAGTGATGTTTGGCTCAGAGTGTGTGAAAAACCCTGACCCTAACTGGAAGTTGATTGAGTGAAGTAATAAATAATAAAACGTCTCTCCAAATTGATGAGTCCACAGAACATTTTAACTAATCTGATCAAATCTGAAATTCTCTTTTTCTCTGAAGATGAAACCAGTGTCACTTACAGACAAATCAGAGTCTGGAGAGAAGAATGAGACAGAAAACTCAGTTTGGACAGAACATTATTGAAGCTGCAGGATCTGGACGGCTGCTGCGTACGTTTGGCCAATTCAACTCCATCTCCACCCGGCTGCACGTCCACTCGTTATGTCTGTACTTGTGTGTTGATTATGTGCTGATGTGGCGGAGGTGTGTGTGTTTGCGTGTGTGTGTGTGTGTGTGTGTGCATTGGTTCCATACTATGCCTCAGTTAAGGAGCATGGTCTGGGGGCTGTTCTCTTTTTTTTCTCCTCCTCATATCCTCATGTTTTGCTGCATTGTTTTCTTCTGTCTACTGGTCCGGTCCACGTCTAGTCGGCCCATGTCGTGTCTTATGTGTTTGTAAATGTACGGACGGGGCGACAGGTCCAACATCGATTCCTTTGTGTTTCTTGTACATGTGAAGAAACTGACAAATAAAGCTACATCAATACTCAACATTATTTAAGCAGTTATGAGACTGACAAAGTGATATCTGGGCACAGGACGTATGAATGTATGAACTGAATAAACTGCTGCAGTGTCCTTTAAGGTTTGTGTGCAAATCTGTGCCATTAAACCCAAAGCCGACAAACTAAACACATTAAAAAGGTAAATGATGAAATATAAATCTGTGTGAAACAGTTTAAAAGAACAACAAGAAAACTCAGTGTTGAAGTGTGTCGTCTTTATTAAACAGAAAGTAAAACAGGACACACATCAGCAGGTTCTGTTGTGTATTTATATGTGTACAGGGCACACACACTGGCGTCCACAGCCGACGTAGCAGCATTTGAGGTTCTTGGGACACTCGCAGTCTGCTGCACATTCATCTTCACACGGGTGGGGGTGGTGAGCAACGATGTGAAGCATTGGAGGAGGGCATGACCCTGGTTTGGATCCTGGTTTGGGCACTGTGAAGATAAACAGCATAAAAACAAAAAAATCTGATCATTTTCTGATAAAAACATTTACAGTGGAGTGAGTGATGTGATTTCTGTCTGATTGTTCAGAAATGAGCTGAAATTCCAAATGAACCTAAACAAACACTGAAGAGAGTTTTACCTAAGACTGGCAACTCGCAGGTTTTCCCACAGCCGGTGGAGCAGCACTTCAGAACACCAGGACAGTTCTGGTCAGAGTCACACTCATGGACACACTTCCCAAACCCCTTTTGAGCAGGACATGATCCTGGTTTGTCCTTAGGCACAACTGTGGACATTTAAGGGATTAAAATGTATGAAAAAGTCTACAGATGTTTCCATGGTGGTGCTAAACAAGATCTAAACCAGGACTAAAACAGAACTAAACCAGGACTAAATCATGCCGCGCTGCCGCTGTCCCTGGTCCGTGAATTATTGTTGGACATAAACTGGTCTGTGGAGCTAAAAAGGTTGGCGACCACTGCATTAAAGCAAAGAAACTTGTGATTCTGTAAATTGTGATGGCCCACGATATTGGGGGGGGGAGATGTATGTCAATTGAGTGTATGTGTTGTTTTTTTTTAGCAATGGCAATTTTTTTCCGGAAAAAAAAACAACAACAAAAAAACAAAATAAAATAAAATTAAATAAAAATCCTAAATGAATAAATAACAAAAAAAAAATTCCTAATAAAAAAAAATCCTAAAAAAAAAAGTCTTTAACTTTTTAAAGACAACAAAAACATAAGAGAAAAACACAAAAACAGTACAGAGATTTTTTTTTTCTTGAGTTGCTGATGCAAAATGAAAAAAACAAACCAAACAAAAAACAAAAAACTTGCCTTTTTTTTGTTTTTGTTTTTTGTTTTTTTTCTCTTGCCGCTCAGGGCTTCCGTACCAAACAGCATTTCGTCTTTACAAATGTTTAAAGGCCTTGAAGGTTTTGTGAAGTGAAATGGACTGACCTGTGTGAGCAGAGAGCAGAGTCACGAAGACCAGAGCCAGAGTCAGGACGCAGAGGGCGGAGTGCTTCATCTTCATCACTGCAGACACAGACACAAATGTTCAGCTCATGAACAGCTTCTATTTATTCACCTGAAGCTGTTGTAGAGCCGCCCCGCTGAAGCTCACATCAGCACAACCACTTGATAATCTACAGTTCACTCATCATTTACTTCATGTTGACCTCAATCAAAGTGTAAATAAACTCCCGTCACGCAGAAAGTGCAGCTGTTAGATTCGATACACAGGTTATATGAGAAATACATTTTATATATATATATACATACACACACATATATTTCCCCCCCCCACTGGCGACAATGGAGGAGGGTAATGGAGAATAAAAAATTGTCACATTATATTACTACTAATTGTTTAAATTAAATTAAAATGAAAAATAGGATATTCATCAGCACAATGGTATAATTTTGAAATCCTTTGGTGAGTTACTTTGAAGGGGGTGGTGAGCTCCAGGTTGGAGACTCCTGATCTAAAGTCTCAAAAGTATTGAGCTAATCAACAAAGTGAAAAACCTTCTAAATCAAAAGGCTCTTTACATGTCGTATCGATCACTCATACTTCACACCTGACACTTTGTACTGAAATTTGGGGCAACAATGACCAAACTTTACTTCTTCCCCTTTTCAAATGACAAAAACGTGCTGTGAGAATAAAACATGAGGCTGGTTACCTGGATCATACAAATGAAATTATAAAAATGTTTTGAGTGAAATTCTACACTGCTTTGCTTTTGTATAATAGAAACAAAAATATGTTGCCATTAAAGATCCAAAAACTGTTCAGTACATGAAAAGTACACGATTAATGAAGGGGACAGGGTCAATTTAAAATAAAGTCTGTGAGAACCACCAGGAAAAAAAAAAAAAAAAGGTTTGGGTTAAAATTATATTTAGTTTGCACAGTATGTCATTTATTTTACTGTATGTAAATGTTTGTAAAGTTCTGTGATCAATGTTCAGAAGCAAAACATCATTTTTGAAACTGTCACGAGCAGGTTTGGGTTCATATGAGTTTTTTCTTCTTCCTTTTGGAGAAATGTGCTTTTCTCTTGTTCACACTGTTTATGTAGTAAATATGATTATTGTTTCTCTCTCAGCACAAACTCGAAATAAAAACAAATCAATCAATCAATAAATATTATTTCACTGTGGAAGTGGACTGACTTGTTAAGAGTTTTTTCTCTGATACAGAGAAATAATAAAACATATTTCGTTTTTAGATTGGGCAGTTTATTTATTTCCAAGTGACAATGAGGAGAGAAAAAAACAAAACCTGAAACCTGAAGTTTTTCTTTTGTTCATGTTCATCTTGAGATTCACTTCAAACACAGAAAAGTTTGTTTTAGTGACACATATTTTTATCAAACAAAGCGGCGACTCATAGTTTAGATAAACGTGTTTGTCTGATTGTTTGTACTTTTCTGTTCTTCAGTTTTATCTTTTATCAGTGACACAGTGAGTGTGTTTTCATGCATCAGTGTCCTGGTTATGATCAGG